GCGGCCCCTCCCACCACCACAGGGGGCCCCGGTGTCCAAGGACCCCCCCATAAAAGGGGCCCTGGTGTGTGAGGACCCCCCAAAAAGGGGCCCCGGCGTCCGAGCACCCCCCAAAAAGGGGCCCCGGCGTCCTGAGGAGCCACCCCCAAGGGGCCCCGGCGTCCGAGGAGCCGCCCCCAGGGCCCCCCCTCACGCCGCCCCCACTGACTTGTCGCCGTCGCCTCCTCGTCCCCTGTCCCCCTGCGGCGCCGCCTGTAGCGCGGGGGCGGCTGTCGCGGGGGCGGCTGTCGCGGGGGCGGCTGTGGCCGCCGGCCGCCCGTACATCACCACGGCGACGAGCACGAGGCCGGCGCCGGCCACGAAGGCGCCGCGCGGGCGGAAGCCGAACAGGCGCACGGAGGCGGCGGCTGACGCCACCACCGAGAGCGCCGTGGCGAACGTCTTGGTGACGCTGCCGGCGTGCCGGAGGACCACGGCCACCAGCAGCCCGCCGGCCGCCTGGTTGAGCACCACGGCCCACACGGCGCCGCTGTAGCCGTGGAAGAAGCCGCGCGCGGCCACCGCGTCGCCCTCGGTGGCCCACATGGTGGCCAGCGCCACCAGGGTGCCGGCGGCGCCCAGCTGGGCGTTGCGCACCCACAGCCCGCCGGGCGTCTTCAACAGGCGCTCGCAGTACACCCCCGCGAAGCCGGAGGAGATACAGGCGGCGACGACGGCCAGCAGGCCGGTGAGGTAGCTCTGCGGCGAGGAGGAGGACGGCGGCGGCGGGCCCCGCGCCTGCTCGAGCTGCACCAGGGCCACCCCGGCGCAGAGCAGCGCCAGCGAGAGCCACTGCAGCCGCGACAGCGCCGTCCCCAGCAGCAGCACGGAGAAGAGGGCGGCCGTGAGGGTCTTGAGCTGGTAGGTGACCTGCGGGGGCGTGGGGACGTTGGGGACGCTGGGGGTGTTGGGGACGTTGGGGACAACGGCGGGACAGGGGTGTCACCTGGAAGGTGGCGGCGGGCAGGTTGGAGATGGCCACGTACTGCAGGTTGTTCTGCAGGGTGTAGATGAGCGAGGGCAGCGCGAGGCGCAGCGCGTCCCCCGGCTCCGCCTGTAGCGCCGCCGCCGTCTGCCGCACGCTGCCTGTAGGTAGGGGACACCGGGTGACAACTGCCCCAGGGGGGCGGAACCCAAAGGGCGGGGGTTGTGAGCTGGGGGGGGCTCGTACGCGGGGGGACACTGTGGGGGTGGGAAAGGGGAACGGGTGACACGGGAAGGGGGGAACCTTAGCAACAGGCACATGGGACCCGGGGGGGTGGAAATACAGGCGGACACAGTGGGAATGGGAAGGGGGAAGGGGAAACGTGTGACACGGAGGGAGGAACCATAAGGCACGGGGACAGGTGGCCCGGGGGAAACCCAGATGGGGCGGACACATATGGATGCAAAGGGGGAGGAGGAAACACGTAA